AAAACTGAGTGTGCGTGTGACAGGTGCTGACAAGGCTGGAAAGGCTGGAAAAGTAGGTGCCTCTTCGATTTCTGATATCGGCCCTCGTGGTCTCTGGGGAGCCCAGCTTTTGAGAAAGCGAGCGCGCCTCTTCGATTTTTTAAGATCGGCCTTCGTGGTCTTTGAGCAGCCCAACTTTTGAGAAAGCAAACGCCTCTTCGATTTCTGAGATCAACCCTCGTGATCTCTAAGCAGCCCAGCTTTTGAGAAAGCAAACGCCTCTTCGATTTCTGAGCAGGCTCCTCTTCGATTTCTGAAGCTTCGTCGAGTGCAGATTTTTTTATAGGGGCTGGCATTAAGTTCCAAAGCACACTTGAATCTCCACCAGTAGAAGCTTCATTCTTGCACTTCTAAGATCTTGATTTGTCCGACCTCTTCTCTCTTCAACACCTTTGAAAATGTCTGGCCCCTCCGACCGTCGTTTTGACTTGAACCTTGTTGAAGAGGCAGCCCCGCCTTCTCCAGAACACATATGGCGCCCATCCTTCGTCTCCCCTACTGGTCCTCTTACCGTTGGGGATTCCGTGATGAAGAATGATATGACCGCTGCGGTGGTGGCCAGGAACCTTCTCACTCCCAAAGATAACAGACTACTTTCCAAACGGTCTGATGAGTTAGCTGTTAAGGATTCGCTGGCTCTCAGTGTTCAGTGTGCAGGTTCTGTGTCTAATATGGCCCAACGCCTATTTGCTCGAACCCCGCCAAGTTGAATCATTGGCGGCTGAAGTGATGAGTCTCAAACAGGAGATTAGAGGGCTCAAGCATGAGAATAAACAGTTGCACCGGCTCGCACATGACTATGCTACAAACATGAAGAGGAAGCTTGACCAGATGAAGGAAACTGATGGTCAGGTTTTACTTGATCATCAGATATTTGTGGGTTTGTTCCAAAGGCATTTATTGCCTTCGTCTTCTGGGGTTGTACCGCGTAATGAAGCTCCAAATGATCAACCTCTGATGCCTCCTCCTTCTAGGGTTCTGTCCAGTACTGAGGCTCCAAATGATCCCCCTCCGGTGCCTTCTCTTTCTGGGGCTCTACCGACTGCTGAGACTTCTCCTAAGCAACCTTTGTGAAGGCTCCCTCTTGTGTGCTTATTTTGACTCATGTATATGTACATATTTGTAGCTTATCGGGGATATCAATAAATAAGCTTTCCTTCATTTCAACGTATTGTGTTAAATACACCAAAGCCTTCTTCGCTAAGTTCTTTGAATTTTCTTTTGTTAAAGCTTATATGTTGAAGCTTTCTGAGTGGAGCATGTAGGTTGGGGTAGTGTTCCCTTAATTTCCCGAGTGAGGAAAACTTCTCAGTTGGAGACTTGGAAAATCCAAGTCACTGAGTGGGATCGGCTATATGAATCTTAGAACGCCATTGTGCTCGATCCTGTGTCATGTCCTTCGTTAGATCCAAGTACTCTAAGTCTTTTCTTAGAGTCTCTTCCAAAGTTTTCCTAGGTCTTCCTCTACCCCTTCGGCCCTGAACCTCTGTCCCATAGTCGCATCTTCTAATCGGAACGTCAGTAGGCCTTCTTTGCACATGTCCAAACCACCGTAACCGATTTTCTCTCATCTTTCCTTCAATTTCGGCTACTCCTACTTTACCCCGGATATCCTCATTCCTAATCTTATCCTTTCTCGTGTGCCCACACATCCAACGAAGCATCCTCATCTCCGCTACACCCATTTTGTGTACGTGTTGATGTTTCACCGCCCAACATTCTGTGCCATACAGCATCGTCGGCCTTATTGTCGTCCTATAAAATTTTCCCTTGAGCTTCAGTGGCATACGGCGGTCACACAACACGCCGGATGCACTCTTCCACTTCATCCATCCAGCTTGTATTCTATGGTTGAGATCTCCATCTAATTCTCCGTTCTTTTGCAAGATAGATCCTAGGTAACGAAAACGGTCGCTCTTTGGTATTTCTTGATCTCCGATCCTCACCCCTAACTCGTTTTTGGCCTCCATTTGCACTGAACTTGCACTCCATATATTCTGTCTTTGATCGGCTTAGGCGAAGACCTTTAGCTTCCAACACTTCTCTCCAAAGGTTAAGCTTTGCATTTACCCCTTCCTGAGTTTTCATCTATCAACACTATATCGTCTGCGAAAAGCATACACCAAGGAATATCATCTTGAATATGTCGTGTTTAACTCATCCATTACCAACGCAAAAAGGTAAGGACTTAAGGATGAGCCTTGATGTAATCCTACAGTTATGGGAAAGCTTTCAGTTTGTCCTTCATGAGTTCTTACGGCAGTCTTTGCTCCTTCATACATATCCTTTATAGCTTGGATATATGCTACTCGTACTCCTTTCTTCTCTAAAATCCTCCAAAGAATGTCTCTTGGGACCCTATCATACGCTTTTTCCAAATCTATAAAGACCATGTGTAAATCCTTTTTCCCATCTCTATATCTTTCCATCAATCTTCGTAAGAGATAGATTGCCTCCATAGTTGAGCGCCCTGGCATGAACCCGAATTGGTTGTCCGAAACCCGTGTCTCTTGCCTCAATCTATGCTCAATGACTCTCTCCCAGAGCTTCATTGTATGACTCATTAGCTTAATACCCCTATAGTTCATGCAATTTTGTACGTCGCCCTTATTCTTGTAGATAGGCACCAAAGTGCTCATTCGCCACTCATTTGGCATCTTCTTCGTTTTCAAAATCCTATTGAAAAGGTCAGTGAGCCATGTTATACCTGTCTCTCCCAAAAGTTTCCACACTTCGATTGGTATATCGTCTGGGCCTATTGCTTTTTTATGCTTCATCTTCTTCAAAGCTACAACTACTTCTTCCTTCCGAATTCGACGATAAAAAGAGTAGTTTCTACACTCTTCTGAGTTACTCAACTCCCCTAAAGAAGCACTCATTTCATGTCCTTCATTGAAAAGATTATGAAAATAACCTCTCCATCTGTCTTTAACCGCGTTCTCTGTAGCAAGAACCTTTCCATCCTCATCCTTGATGCACCTCACTTGGTTTAGGTCCCTTGTCTTCTTTTCCCTTGCTCTAGATAATTTATAGATATCAAACTCTCCTTCTTTGGTATCTAGTCGTTTATACATATCGTCGTAAGCCGCTAACTTAGCTTCTCTGACAGCTTTCTTCGCCTCTTGCTTCGCTTTTCTATACCTTTCACCATTTTCATCAGTCCTCTCCTTGTATAAGGCTTTACAACATTCCTTCTTAGCCTTCACCTTTGTTTGTACCTCCTCATTCCACCACCAAGATTCCTTTTGGTGTGGGGCAAAGCCCTTGGACTCTCCTAATACCTCTTTTGCTACTTTTCGGATACAACTAGCCATGGAATCCCACATTTGGCTAGCTTCCCCCTCTCTATCCCACACACATTGGGTGATTACCTTCTCTTTGAAAATGGCTTGTTTTTCTTCTTTTAGATTCCACCATCTAGTCCTTGGGCACTTCCAAGTCTTGTTCTTTTGTCTTACTCTTTTGATATGTACATCCATCACCAACAAGCGATGTTGATTAGCCACGCTCTCTCCTGGTATAACTTTGCAATCCTTACAAGTTATACGATCCCCTTTCCTCATTAGAAGAAAATTTATTTGTGTTTTTTACGACCCACTCTTGTAGGTGATCACATGTTCTTCTCTCTTCTTAAAGAAGGTGTTGGCTAAGAAGAGATCATATGCCATTGCAAAATCCAAGATAGCTTCCCCATCCTCGTTTCTCTCCCCAAAACCATGGCCACCATGAAAACCTCCATAGTTGCCTGTCTCCCTGCCCACGTGTCCATTTAAATCTCCTCCTATAAATAACTTCTCCGTCTGAGCAATTCCTTGCACCAAGTCTCCAAGATCTTCCCAAAATTTCTCCTTCGAACTCGTATCCAACCCTACTTGAGGTGCGTACGCACTAATCACATTGATAAGTTCTTGTCCTATTACAATCTTGATTGCCATGATTCTATCTCCTACCCTCTTGACATCTACAACATCTTGTACCAAGGTCTTGTCCACGATGATGCCAACACCGCTTCTCGTTCTATTTGTGCCCGAATACCAAAGTTTAAACCCTGAGTTTTCTAGATCCTTTGCCTTACTACCAACCCACTTAGTTTCTTGTAGGCACATAATATTTGTCCTTCTCCTCACCATAACTTCCACTACTTCCATAGATTTTCCCGTTAAGGTTCCTATATTCCACGTTCCTAAACACATTTTGCTCTCTTGAACTCTACCCTTCTGTCCTAGCTTCTTCACCCTCCCCCGTCTAATAGGATCAAAGTACTTCTTTTGTGTGTCCCGGGTAAAGTTGATAGGAGCATATGCTCTCAAACAACTTTGAGTGGAGTCGTTCGAAAAGAAGTTTCTATGGCCCCCTTGCTCATTTAACACTGCATCCGGGTGCCGATGGAGATACAGCGACCCTTGCTCACTTATCACTGTGCTCAGGCCACACAGCGCGCCACTTACGGGTGACGCCCTAGCTTTAGCACGATTTTGTTCTGGATTCATTTTCATAAGGATTCGACGTGATCATGGAGTGCCGGCTGTCGACTACCTGACGCCCTCCCCCTCCTCCTTTATCCGGGCTTGGGACCGGCCATGTAAGACATAGGCGGAGTTCACTATTCAACCAGATAGGAAAAAAAATTCAACACACGACCACTATTATGAATAGACTTATTGTATGAATCACTAGCTTTGGCCTTGAGATTCAATCACACTGAGTTGAAGCTTTGGCTTTTTTAGCACCCAGGTCAGTAATATCAACTAAGATTAACAAAGCATGCAAGAAACCCACAATTTTACAACTTCATAGCAGAGAATGGCATTGGCCTTCACAACTTTACAAAGGAAACTTCAACAATTTGAGCAAATATTAACAAAAAATCCAAGAAACATATACGAAGATCCCTAATTTCAATCAATCCCCAAATATCATTCAAGAAAGGATAATATGTTGCAAGATTTCACACATAGAACCTGATGTTTTGTCCGATTCCATCTTAGCATCATAGATTGCAATGATAACTACAATCGCTGAAATTGAAGATATCGTTACACATATCACAGGAAACATGGTAAAAGAGAGATAAAACCCATAAGAAATCCACCTTGAAAAACTTCAATCTTTGAGCTTCAAACCCACAGAAGATCGCAGGGTCGATACCATCTTAACACTACTAATATGAATTCAAGAAAGTATAATTCTTACAAGAATTGAAATATGCAAAGTAGAAAAAAAGAGATGAACAATGGAAAGAAATGCAATAGCTGAATGATAATATTGGAAAGAGTACAATAGTATAAGTAGTTATATATTGCTAACAACCTAGCTTGTCTATTAAGCTTTATCCAATCCACATCATGACACCATGGAAAACTAATTCAAGTCAACCAATGTCCAAGTGGCAAAAAAAAAAAAAAAAACCCAATGTACAAGTGACACCTACACCCTATTAGTTATTAATATGCCCTTCGAAGTTCTTGTACCTTCATGGCACTGAATGAGGATCCTTTCTGGATCTTATTTGTGAGGATCTTGAGGATTCTCAAGTCAAGTTCGTTCATCGTACATCGGTCAAAAATCATTTTAAATATTTTTATTTTAAATTAAATATAAATAGTACCTGACGAAAACTGACCTCACGATACACGATGAACGGACACGATTTAAGGATCTTCATGATCCTCACAAAGAGGATCAGGAGAGGATCCTTCTGGCATGGCACTAGCTCTTCTTGTGTAAAATAATTCTATGGGATCAATAGCACATCTCAGGAATTGGAATTGTAGCTGGCGTGGCTGTTAATAGAAAAAAAAAGAAATGGAACGTTCAACCAAAAAAAAAAAGGAATGGAAGGACTTTTTTTTACCCTAGCTTGTGGATGGAATTTTAATGGAAATTTCGATTTGGACAATGATTGTTAACAAATTCCACCACAAAGTTACAATTAACAACTTTTTATCACATGACTCAATTTAAAAGTAAGACCTCACCACAGGCACCACGGAAAAAATTTGACCAAAAAAAACATAACGTAAATTGTCAGGCATTTCACTTGAAAATAGAGGTTTTTAGATTTTAAATTAGATCACTTTTAATTGTAGTCTTAATGGTTTTCAAAATCTAATTCAAGTCTAATTTTTAAAGATCAAGGTGATTCTATGCAATCCAATCTCCAAAATTAATCCATCGACTAATTAATTAACTCTATCCAAAATTCAAATTTAAGCATTTTTAATGGCGATGGAAAAAAAGGAAAACTAATGAAAAATGTTTGTAAACTTTGAGTTTTAATCATAAGTTGTGGATACAAATTTCTTCCTCCTTGTTATTGGACAAAATTGCACCTACAAAACAAATAACCCCTTAAGTCAAGGCCAAGAGCTTCACGCACCCACGATGAATAAGGGGGGCTTTGGCCGAAGAACCTCCGATGCCAAAGTTAGAATTTTAAGAGAAAAGTGTTTGGATAATTTAGCAAGAGAATTCGAATTGAATTTTGGAGAGAATGAGGTAGTATTTATAGGGGTGTGGCTGTCCCCTTTAGGAGGAGGAGGACCGGCCACTTGGTTGGTATTTTGGGTGAGGTTCATGATTTGTAGCTAGTTAGGAATAATTGACTAATAAATCAATTAATTAGTTAATTAATAGAATAATTTCCTAATTGATTAGCTAATTAATATAATAGAAGAGGAATGATTTGGGAGTTCCCTTGTGGAGATGATTTGATGAGGATGGATGAAATAGATTTTGAATTATTACCTATTTTGGGTACCTTTGACTTGGTTGAGGGATGATTGACCACTGCTAGTGTGTAGGAATCTCGATGTGCCTCGAGGATAATTTTGTCATTTTAACACAATATTATTTTTGGCTCCACAGAAGCCATGTAACAATTTTATTTAATGGTTAGTACAAAACCCAATATTAAACAAGCCCATTTAAAATGGCCCAACGATAATGACATACTAATTTCTTAATTTTGCCCCTGACGTTTTTAGGTTATGTTAGTTTTGTTTTCCGTTAGTTTAGTCCTATCAAAGAAAACTAGAGCGCCTTCGGTTTGGGAGATGATGGTAAAATCCAAGTTGATGAGAAGACGAAAAAGATGATGCATGAGAAGATGGTGGGATCCAAGTTTTGAGTGCGGCAGTGATTTAAGGGTGATGCGATGAAGCAGTGGTGTGGTGCGGCGGTGAATCACACCCATTAAATTAAACTGGGATTATTTTGAATATCAATGAAATACAACCTCTATCTTTTCCCACCCAGGTTATTTTGAATATCAATTAAACTGAGATTGTTCTAGGTGTGATTTCATGGTGGGTGATATAATTTTCAAAATTCTAACTTTTCAAAATTACATCTGGGTGTGATTCCTGCCAGTTTAATTTCAAGTTTTGGGATCCAAGGTTTAATTTTGGTTGTTCATAGTGATTTTATTGGTGATGCGGTGTGGGGGTGATATGGTTTATAGCCAAAGATGTGAAAAAAGAGGGAAAAGATGGTTGGGAAAGTGAAGGAAGTATAATTACTGCACTTGTTTTATTATACCTTTATTTATTTGTTTTGCGGTGGGCCTATTTTGCTTTCATTATCAAGATAGATGATGTGTATAACGATTTCCATGAGACTTACTTGGATGGCGAGTCTATTTAGCATTTCTCATTTTAAAATGTAGAATTAGTAGTAGAATTTAAAAGCTTGTCAAACTAAATAAAGTGTAGCATTTAATTAAGCATTTTACTTAGATTTTGGCACCATTTTATTTCGATTGAAAAAAGGGGCTAAAAGCAAGAGCCCAAACAAATCTGCTCAATAATAAATCTAGATCGGACATTCCAAGTCGATCCTCATGGAGACAAGCAACCATTTCAAGTGGGGTTCTCATTTCTTTGCTCCAATACAAAATTAAAAAAGTTAAAAAAAAAATTAAATTAAATATTTATAAAGTATTTGTTGAACATGAGTCCAAAAGTGTGATTACATATTCTTGTTTGTGATTTGGTGGACGTAATCTTGTATTATTTATGGAACTTCTCAAAACTAAACTAAAATAACTCACACTATTTCTAGAACTACTGCAAAATAACTCATACTATTTCTGAAATTATAGCAAAATAACCACACTATTTCTGAAATTGAACCAAGATAACTCACACTATTTCTGGATTGGAACAAAATGAACACTATTTTTTAAATTATAGCAAAATAACCGCACTATTTCTGAAATTGAACCAATATAACTCACAATATTTCTGGAATTATTACAAAATAACCCACGTTGTTTATGAAATTACAGCAAAATAACCCACACTATTTCTGGAACTGAACCAAAATAACTCATACTATTTCTAGTACTACAGAAAAATAACTCACACTATTTATAAAACTAAAATAAAAAAAAACGCATACTATTCCTGGAATTACATCAAAACAACCTACACTATTCTGAAACTGAACTAAAATAACTCACACTATTTCTGAAACTGAACTAAAATAACTCACATTATTTTTGGAAGGGAACAAAATAAACACTATTATTAGAAATAACAAAATAACACACACACTATTTCTTAAAGAAACAAAATAAACACTATTCTTATAAATACAATAAAGTAGCCTACACTATTTTTGAAATTGAACTAAAATAACTCACACTATTTTTGAAATTGAACTAAAATAACTCACACTATTTCTGAAAGGGAACAAAGTAAACACTATTCTTAGAAATACAACAAAATAACACACGCTAATTCTGGAAAGGATCAAAATAAACACTATTCTTAGAAATACAACAAAGTAACTCATACTATTTCTGAAATTGAACCAAAATAACACAGACTATTCTAAAACTACCGCAAAATTACATTCCAAGTTATTCCTACCATTTCAAAATTTGTAGAATGCCACGAGTTTCATTTGCGCATTCAGATCCAAAACAATTAGTAGTTGTTTTTTTGTTAAAATTTAAATTAATAATAGTGCTATCTAATTAAATTAAATTCTAATATTCACTAACAACTTTCTTTGAAATGAATGGTTGAAAGCAATGGATGATGATGACACATCAAAAATGAAAGTTGAAAGTTGAAAGCCTTGGTTGAAGTCACTTTTCTCTCTCTTTCTCGTTTGCTTTTTTTTATTTTCTTGTTCTTTTTTCAAATTTTGTAATTGGGGAAGGTTGGGAGTTAGGTAGTTGACACACCCCGACTGAGATCGAGACATGATGGCCGTCACGTGAGGGTGACGTAGCCATGTGCACTGTGCGGAAGCACTAACAATAATGGAGAATACGAATAAATAAGAACCAACTCAAAAGAGTACTAGCTAAGATAAGTGCTAGGGTATGAGTGAAAATACAATCAGAATGTAAGTAGCCTAAGTTCAGTCCATAGAACAAGTATAAATCAAACGACACCCAAAGATGTCATACATTGTGATAGTCTATCAGAGCCTCCATTCAATCCTTGTGAACCACCAACGAACAAGCTTACCTAAAACTTGGCGGGGCGCAAAACAAAAAGTGTGAGTGGGCAAAAACAAAGCTTTTCAAAACCATTTCATTTATCAAATGCTCTAACCCCTCGCAGTAAAACATATATAATTTTCCTAGAAATGGAATATAAATATATATATTTCAAATCATGCTTCACATATCCATATTCATAAGTATGTCATGCCAAATATATAACAGAATGAGTAATTCAGGTGAAAATAAGTTCATGGAAAACATCATATTAGCTGGAACCCCTACAGAGGTCTGTACAACTTAATTCATAGCTCATTGAACAAATCTAGCCAGAGTCACCGAAGGTGACCTGTACCGCATTACATCTGCACACGAGTCGAAACCACCTGTAGTAGTCTGTACGACAAGACTGGGTGTAATATAGTTATGCTCAATGCTACGCTCTGTGCGATAAATCGCTAATCACCTACAAGTCAGAACCACCTATAATGGTCTGTACGTCAAGACTGTGCACCTAAATTGGATCCAATGTGAGCATATGGTGCGGGAGGTGACATTATATACATGCATGTGCCATATCTCTGGCTAAATCACTAACATCGGGGTGCAGGTTTATGAGCTCAATGTTTCTCAATTAATCACAACCGTTATTCACATTCACATTTCATAAACTCACCTAGGACTTGCCTGAGCGTCCACAACACCACAAATATATATATATGCAAACATCTTATGCATATCCTAAATGTAAAACATTTGGCATGGCAATTCAAATCATAACTCATTTGAATGCATTTTCTGGGAAAGATATCAAACTATA